AAAAGGGGTGCTGAAAAATTTTCGGACGGGACTCATTTTCAGGGAACCGTTATGACAGCGATATCAGTGGTTGGCTTTTAACCTTCAAGTATAAACTGATTTTCTTGACAAATCCCAAATCCAACACAGTCAAATTCAGGCGATCAACACAGTCTTTATAATTCAGGTCTTTTAAAGATTTAGTGTTTCCTGAAATACCAGTGTCATTTTGTCAGCAACAAATCTTTTTGACCATTTCGCATGTCTTTAAAATTTCCTCTTCCCCCTCCTTCTCTCTCGTTCTTTCTTTCTATCAGCCTCAGTCTTTTAAATTCTCTCTATTTCATATTTAGTGTTTCCTGACCGGCCCCCCAACCCTCGCCACCAAACCCCTTCTCTCCCTTCTTTTTTCTTTCTCTCTCTCTCTCTATCTTTTGCGCTCCCAATCTCATCTCCCTTCTCTCTCTATCGCCAATAGTTAGGGAGGAGGAGATGATGCGTTAGGCAACAAAAAACTACATAATAACTCAAAACTGATCGCGACAATTTATGTACGTAGGTCCTTACTTTCCGTACAAACAATTATTTTTATTTCATGCTGGATTTCGCAATCAATTTTGATTATTCCAAAATTTATTTCCAAATTATAAAAATTGATATTTTGATTATTCCAAAAAAAAATAAAAATAATCACAAAAAAAAAATAATCACCAAAATTACAATCAAAGTAAAATGCAAATTTGGGGATCCAAATTTTCAGGTTTTCTGGCCTGGTTCTGGCCCGGAATGTTTTTATTTTACGCACGGAGTCGCCCTGGTTCCAAAATGGCATACGTTGGGCTACTGTGTCTAGGAGTAAAGATGAAAACACGGACAATTTTATTTTGAAACACTGTAATTTAAGAACAGAAGTTTTTTCATGTGAACATGAGGTTTTGAAAGTTAGAGAGTTGTCTCCCTTTAATCATTTTCTTTCAGTAGAAGCCAATATACCAGGATCCGAAAACCATCTAAGTAATGAAAATCTGGGAATCTAAAATTTCAGGTTTGTGGGTCCGGATCTGGCCAGGAATGTTTTAATTTGCTCACGGAGTCGGTCTGATCCGAAAATGCCATATGTTTGACTACGGCCTATAGGATTAAATTTGTAAAAGTATGACACAGTGACAGACTGACATTCGCATATATATATATATATATATATATATATATATATATATATATAAAAATAAATATACATTTGCTCCTAGCCATCTATATGAATATATATATATATATATATATATATATATATATATATATATATATATATATATATATATATATATATATATATAAACATACATACATACACAAGAGGTGCTGAAAAAAGTCTCTGTTCTAATCACTTCTCAAAATGGTTAAACACCAAAATTTTAGGCATGAGATGATTCTTAATCGACCCGAGAACTTACAGACTGTCTTCAGATATATATATATATATATATATATATATATATATATATATATATATATGCTCCCAACTTTCTTTCTGATTCGTCCTATGCCTCTTTATCTCTTTCTCTTTTTCCTCCTTACTTGTTTTTCTATTTTGAATCTTCCTCTTTTCTTATTTCTTTCTCTTCCTCCTTCTTTCCTTTGCAGCCTCCTTCGGCATCACCTCCTCCAACTATCATCCTTCAATTCCTTATCTCTCCCTCATTCTTTCTGCATTCATTTCCATCTCTCCTTCCTTTTTTTCTACTACGACTACTCCTTTTCGCTCTCTTCTTCCTCATTCGTTGATATTTTTTTTCCCTTTTCCTTCTCTCTCTCTCTAATCTTTTACTCTTTACTCTTTCGTTTCCTTCTTTTCTCATCCCAACTCCTCCTCCTCCTTCTTTGACTATTGTTCACGCCTCCTCCTATTCCTCACTCTTGCTCATTTTTTTCCAGCTTCCTCTGTTATCTCTTTTCACTACACCGACTTGTTCTCTTGACTTTTTTTCTTTTCCTTTTGTCCTCTTTTTAATTTCTATCCCTCCCCCTCCTCACTCTCTTAATAGTGCTTAATATCGTCCTCTCCTCATTCTCTGCTATTTTCTCTTCGCACTTCCGCCAAGAACTTTAGTCTCAACGGACCAATAGTTTCCCCCGCCTCCACCTTCTAAGCCAGTAAGTACGCGGTCTGGACAATGAATTCTATCTGGAAAGTCAATAACAGTCTGGACTAAACGAAAAACCCAAGACTCTAAAAACGACCGACTGCATCATAATAGAATATCTATTGCAGCTGTCAGAGGACATAGATATATGCATTCAAGTGTGCGTAAGGTTAGTGGGTGGATGGGGTGGAGGGGAGTGCAGCCTCTGTATGTATGAAAGAGAGAGAGAGAGATAGAAAGAGAGAGCATTTTCATATCAGGAACAAAGACGAGACAGCTTAAAGGAAGATACCACGTTTTTTCTCATAAATCCGTTTATTTAGAGATGATTTATTGGACCAATTCACATCGTAACTATTTCTTTCATCCAATCAAAATAATGCATCTAGCTCAGAGACGGTTAGCACTGAGACACCTCAATTCAAGTATGGACAGTTCGCTTTCTAAGAAAAAAAATTGTGAATTAGAAAAATATTTTCTAAATTGTTGTTATTTACTGACAAACGTATATCTATAGTTATTATTTAGATATTAACACAAACACCCACACACGCGCGAGCGCGCACACAAACACACACACACACACACACACACACGCACACACACACACGCACATAAATATATATATATATATATATATATATATATATATATATATATATATATTAATCGGTATCACCCCATGCAAGACAGTAAAGCCACTATGACACAAGGGGTTACTGAGTGAGGGAAAATTAGGAACAGAAACATTAATAATGAGCAGGAACAGGAAAGAGTAATCAGGAGGACAGTAGATAACGATTGACATTGCATTTAAAGTTTTGCAGTTTAAACTTGACTGGAAAGCATGGAGCTAGAAGGGAGTTCCACAAGCAAAACAGTAAAGCCACTAAGACACAAGAGGTTGAAGGGTGTGGAAGAATTAAGAACAGAAACATTAATAATGAGCGGGAAGAGGAAAGATTAATCAGGAGAAGAGTAGATAGCGATTGAAAGTTTGGAGCCGGAAGGGAGCTCCACAAGCGAGAAGTGCGAGAAAAGAAACTGTTAGCATAAAACATACATCTGTAAATTGATGAGATCTCGACGCCAGTCTAGTACGGTGCTTAAATTTTAAAAAGTCTAGGTCCCCTAGCGAAGAGCTCATCCGAACAATTGCCATGAAAGGATTTACAAGAACCGTGTCAATTTTATCAAATGAAACAATGACAGTCGATATTCATCGCAACGATAAAGTAACTGCAAAATGAAGCCTGAAGTGACTCGAGATGTCAAAATACAAAATAACACTCGGAAATCAGGTATGGCAGACCATTTATAAAAGAAAAAGGAATTAGATCAAATAAGCAATATAGAAAAAGATTGAAATGTTAAAAAAAAGCAAAATAAGGAACCAATTCACACGATTTCGGAATAATAACGCCCATTATAGACTTTTATATTTGAATTTGATTTTAAACAACAGTCTATCAAAATTTAAAATTATAGTCTATTAAAATTGCTGTCAATTTAAAATTATAGTCTATTAAAATGGCAGGTTATTAAAATAGCGGTCTGTTAAAATAACAATCTATTAAAAATAACAGTCTATTGAAATAAGAGTTTATTAAAATAACTGTGAAAATAACATTCTATTAAAATGAGCCTATTAAAATAACTGTGAAAATAAGTCTATTAAAATAAATGTCTATTGAAATAAGAGTCTATTGAAGTAACTATGAAAATAACAGTCTATTAAAATAGCAGTCTATCAAAATAAGTTTATTAATCTTCATATGCACAGCATAGGACTGGGATATAATCTTACTGTCCTCCGTCTGTCTGTTTGTCTCTTTCTCATTCTCTCTCTCTCTCTCTCTCTCTCTCTCTCTTTCTCCATCTGTCTCAATCATCTCTTTATTATGTTAACTATAATATGTTTATTTTATAACCGGATAGATAAAATGCATGCACTTAATCAATGATTTACAAATTAATCAGTACCGCGGCGTCCCTGGGGAAGATGGAAAGTTGCAGGGGGTGAGGATAACAGTGGTCAGCCAGAGAGTTGAGAGTGTGAGCAATAACATACACTACTTTGTACCCGAGGTGTATCTTGCATTTACTCTACAGTGTACCCCCATTTATTTAAGAAATATTACGGAAAGATACTCGTTTGACATGCAATCAAACGTTGACTATACATCAGGGAGGGAATTTAGGCCTGAGTTTTGATACGCAAGGGGAGGGGCCAAGCCAAAATGCTTTGGGAACTACTGCATTAAATGATCTTACGGTTATTATCACAGAAAGTAATTAGAAAGAACTGAGTTCAAATTCTGGCCAAGGCAGATTTTCTTTTTGTACTAATTCATGTAGGAAACGCACGAAACCTCTTCTGTGTACAGCCAGACCCAAGTCTGGATACGCTAAAACGTCGCATCATCAACAGGATGGCAGGTAGAGAAGAGGTTGGCTGAATAAAAGAGGAGAAAATCAGTTAATGAACAGGATAAATGAGACAAAATATTCAGATGAATAGTATAATGCCGGAATGGAGCTTGCACTCAGTTTCACACCAGGCTAAGGAATTAGAGTGCAGGGTTGGGCTGAGGTTATTTGTGGCCGCTGAGTGCAGAAGCACGAGACCTCAAGTCTGTATCCACTTTTTCCAGTGTGAGAAAACGATACTTGAGAGAGTTAGGAATATAAACCTCCGTTCCAAAGAAAAACTGGACAGTCATCAAGAATCTAAGGGTCAGATTCGAGCCAGAGACTCACAGGGCCGCTCACATACAAACCCACCCTCTGGCCTCGGGTTGAATAGAAGGAAAAGATAAATGATGTAAGATTAAAGCCTCGTGTTATTCATCTGCCCGCATTGATCGATGAGCCAATTTAGAGATACAGACAGACAGACATAGATAGATAGATAGATAGATAGATAGATAGATAGATAGATAGATAACGAACAGTCTGTGATAGATAATGAACAGACTGGGATAGATAGATAGATAGATAGATAGATAGATAGATAGATAGATAGATAGATAGATAGATAGATAACGAACAGTCTGTGATAGATAATGAACAGACTGGGATAGATAGATAGATAGATAGATAGATAGATAGATAGATAGATAGATAGATAGATATGATTAGGTTGTGATAGATATTAGTAGGCTCATATATGATTAGGTTTAGATAGATAGATAGATAGATAGATAGATAGATAGATAGATAATGATTAATTTGACATAGATATACATATAGATAAACAGATAGTAACAGGCTGAGATAGCTAAATAGTCAGACACTATTTCTCGCCAAAATTTTACCCATATGGCCCAAATGAGAGAACGTTTCTTTGCTGTTTTTTGTGCCCTTGGGGGGGTTATTTTGAGCGCTTGCTTTCTGGCGAACGCGTGGATCCAGTTGCGCAAATGCCGTTTTCTCACACCGAACAGACATAACAACAGGTCTCACTAGTTTAATCAGTGTTACTTGAATATGAGCAGATAAAAGCGAATGTGCGTTTATACCCATTTTTCTAAAGCCCTCTTTGCTTCGTAAGTCTATCTCGCCGCAGACCATAAGTTGGGCGTTATTTATATTGTAAAAATACACTGGAGTTTAGATTTTAAATTGTTGTTATTTTCCCCTCCCCACACAGATAAGAATTATACATATGGGGACTAGTTAGGACTCCATAGAGGCACTGAGGTATTATGGAGGCTGTAGTAAGAATGGGTTGTTTTGGTGTTAGGAATATTGTGGTATATTTGGGTCAATGATTGTGGCTAGCTACGTTTAATATTAAGACAGAAGGAAACCATCCTTCCCCCAAGTCCCCTTTTGGCCTTGTGCCACACTTTGTATATATTATACAAATAAATATTGATTGGAAGGATTTTTTTTTTGCCAAGTTAACTTAGGTAGGGAATGTATACCCATTGACCCCTTTTATTTTTGTCCCTATTTTCTTCATTTTACTGCCCCCCCCCCGTTAGGTGACCACAAATGTCATTTCTCTGGTGGGTGCGGGGTATACTTCGTTTTTCGAGGGTGTTTTTATTGTATTTGTTGTTGTGTCTGGATGAGTGTGTAGAGGCGTATTTTTTTTTTTTTTGTTTTTTTACTGATTTCTTCAGTCTGTGTTAGAGTCCAGGTTAAGTGTCAGAGTTTGGAAAACTGATGCAGCACAATCTGCTTTTTATTCCTTTTTTACGGTTTATCAACCCTCTGCAGGTTATTTAAAGACAGCAAAAATTTTCTTTTTTTTTTTTTTTGATATAATCATGTTTCGGTGATACAAGTCATAGCTGTTGGGAGGGGATGTGGATTCATGCCTTTCCCAAGGGGATTTGCGCGTAAGTGAATATAGCGAACTCAACTGGAATTAGAACCCAGCTCTTCGATTAACAATTCTGATCCATTATTTATTGCACCACCTGCACACCCAAGCTTAACGCGCTTGGTATTCCCAAGTGGTCACCCATCGAGGTACTGACCAGACTCGACGTTGCATAACCCATGCTTCAATGTGATGTGGCCGAAACACACACAACCTGCATTTCTCATCTGACAAGAAAAGTGTTGTGCGTATGTTTTGTAATGTTGTCTTTGTACAAAAAAGCCGAGAATTTAGTCGGCTGTAGTTAGAGAGAATATCGAAGGAACAGAAAACAAAGAAGAGGTTTATTAAACACTCATATATAAACATAGACCACAATCACTGAACCAAACAAACTATACGATATTCCTTACACCAAAACAACACATTTTTACTTACCATTCTTATTACAACAACCATGATACCTCAAAATCTGTAAGAAATCCTAACTAGTCCCGCTAAATACAATTTTTCTGTGGGAGTGGGAAACACAATAACTTCTAAAAATTTAAAACTCCAATGAATATTTACAATGTGAATACTACTGTATATACAAGAAACTAAACAAAATGGTGTTAGTAATATCGCCCACAATCCCTAATTGTAACAAAATTACCGGTTAACTGGACGAAATTAATGCGGAACTTTAATAAAATAATAAATCAAAACTAATCATTTGACTAACCATACACACACAACTACACACTCATCCAGACACAAAAACAAATAAAAAAAAACATACTCGTAAAACGAAGTGTGTCCCACATCCAGCAGAGAACTGATATTTGTGGTCACTTAACGGGGGGAGGGCAATAAAATGAAGAAAGTGGGGGCAAAAATAAAAGGAGTTAATGAATATACATTCCCTACCTCAGTTAAAAATGTGGTACCAGGCCAAAAAGGTGATTAGTGGAAAAGGGTGGTCTTCTTCTGTCTTAACATTAAACTTAGCTAGTCACGATCATTGACCCAACCATACCACAATATTCCTAACACCAAAACAACATATTCTTACTTACCATTTTTACTACATTCACCATAATACCACAATGTCTCTATGAAGATCTAACTAGTCACCATATGTACAATTCTTTTCTGTTATGGGAGGGGAAATAATAAGAATTTAAGATGTAAACCCCAGTGTGTATTTACAATATAAATAAAACACTATATACAAGAAACTAAATAAAATGGTTTTAGTAATTAAAAAAAACAACATACTTCTTTAAATGTCGCAGAAACATCAGTTAACTGGTGATTTTCTAAGCGTAGCTTAGATGTAGAACAATGTTGAAACTACGAGGCACCCAGTGAGGATCGAACTCACTATTCTGTCGTAACTGATCTAGCGAGACAAGCTTGCTGCCCATTACACCACTTGCCATATTTAAGAGTAGAAGTCACAGTAGTAGGGGAGAGAAGGATGTACGAAATGTCTTCCACTACAACGACTTCCGTCTACCAATTCCTACTATCGACATGATTCAATATCTGCTTTCAGTTTTACCGCCAACACTATTATTATTATTTTTCAAATAATTTTCTCTTTGTCATGATTATTTCACTCCACGTTGATTAAACTTATAAATAAAAAAGCAGTTAAAATTTCCCGGGCAAATAATGAGGAAAGAAGGTTTGGAAATTTACTGAAGGCAAGCGGGAAACAGTTCATGACCGACCTAAAAAATGACAAACACTGCTAAAAGCTTCAAAGATAGGAAAATGTGGGGAGCCATGATCGCCCACGTCCTGAAAGGACACGGCACATAAAAGAAGAAAAAAATTATTTGAATCATTTTATGAGTTGAAGAATTCTAACCAACACTAAAAGAGTGTATGGATTTATACTCACTCTCTCTTAATCTGCTTTTGAGAAAGAGGGAATGAGAGAGAGAGAGGGAGAGAGAGAGAGGGAGATAGAGAGAGGGAGAGAGAGAGAGGGAGATCGTGCATGAGAGAGTTTGTGTGTGAGAGAAAGTAAGAGAGAGTTTTTTTTTTGGTTTGTTTTTTTAAATTTCACCCCAAGCAAGGCGGGAAGCCACTAGGACTCAAGGGGTTACAGAAAATTTAGAAAAGGATCAGATAGGAGTGATGGAAGAAAGGATGAGGAGAAGGATAGTGGATAGATCAAGGCAACTGGAGATGTCGATTGACATTACACTTGAATCGCTGGAGATTATAGCTCACAGGGAAACAGGAATAGGGAAGGGAGTTCCACAGGCGAGAGGTGCGAGACATGAAGCTATTAGAGTAGAAGAGACGGCTACATTTAGGAGTTTCGATAGTGAAGGGGTGAGAGCGGGATGCCAGCCTCGTAGGGCGCTTGAACTCATGACGTCTGGGAACCAGCGAATGCAGCTCCTCGGAGCAATTGCCATGAAAGTATTTGTGGGAACAGACAGAGGGAGGCGACGGCGCGTCTGTGAGAAAGAGAGAGAGTGTGTGTGTGTGTGTGTGTGTGTGTAAGAGAAAGAGAGTATGTGAATGAGAACAGAAAGAGTGTGGGATGAAAGAGAAAGTGTGTGGGATGGTAGAGAGAGGGGGGAGAGAGAGAAAATGTATGCGAATGAAAAACAGAAATATATAAATGTATAGCTTCCTCTCTCTCTATCTCTCTCTATCTCTCTCTCTCTCTCTCTCACTTCGTTTCAGAAAGAGAGAGAGTTGGTGTATGTGGATGGAAAGAGAGAGAGAGAGAGTATTGGATAAGAGACAGGGGTGAAGGAGACAGAATAAGAGAGAGAGAGAGAGAGAGAGAGAGAGAGATGGAGAATGCGTCGGGAATTAAAATCCCTAAAAAATATATTTGGTTCAACGTAAGTAATATATTCAGAGCTCCATCTGTTGTAAGGAATTTCCCGACGCGATTGTCGCCTGAAGCGATAAAAAAATGAATTCTTAGTAATAAACAAAATTTCCGCCCCCTCTTCATTCAGAAAGAAAGAAAAGAAAAGTAAAAAGAAATATATCGAGACATGATTTGCAGAGAAAAAAAAATGGAAGAAAAATGATTTTTGAGGCGGGAAGCGTACGTTTCGGTAAAACCTACAAATGGTCAGGTTAAGTAATTGTTCAACTCTTTGCTGTCATTTTTTAACGTTACCCGACCCGCCTCCAAGATCAACTCATTATTTGACCCTCCCCTCCTACACCAAAACATTGGCATCTTTTTCTTCCCGTTTTTCTCTGTTGGTTTTTGAAAAAAAAAAAAAAAAAATTTTCTTGTCGATAATTTTTATTTTATTTTATTTTCATTTTTTTTTTTTTCATATAATTCTTCCTAATTTTACTGAATCATTTTCGACAGAACAAAGACGATATTCTTGCTTACTACAATCAAGAACACATCAGAATGCTGACTAGTCAAGCAGAAATTAAACACGGAACGCTCCGAAAGTAACGCCTCCGATTTCTTTTCAAACAAACTAGACATACAGAGAGCACAATATCACCGATGGATAGAGCAAGTTTTCTTCTACAAATTTTTTTACTATTTTTTTTCCACATAGTCCCTCACCCTGCCATGCATTTTCAAAGAGCTTTTCATTTCGTGAGTTGACAGTTGTACCGGGCAGCTCAAAATGTGGCTTGTTTCAGCTTTTGCCACTACTGGAACGTATCACAAACCTAACCGTGCTCACCTTCACTGTTTGGTCTCCGTAATCATCTAGCAAGTGCAGATAAATATCAATGGGCTCAAACCTTTAGTCTTGGAAATTTTTATGTAATTATTAATGAATGGGGCCATATATTGACATATGTTTTACAAGAACGTCTTCACATTTGGAGCATCTTAAAAAATGAAACACTTGTTTTTCAGCGGAACCATGTATATATGCCACTAATTCAAGCAGAAAGTGATTTGAACATTTAAAAAAAATGACCTATTGAAGTGATTGAATCCGACTAAAAATTTGTGTCCATTTTAATATGAAGAATTTTTTTTTAAGATTGACAGTAAAATAACTACACGAAATCGTGACTTCTGTTTTTCAAAACAGAAGTCAGGATTTCAAGGGTATGGAAAATTAAGGCAGTTTAGCAGAATGGTTTTGAATGTCCACTAAAGAACAGTGAGGAATCGGAGAGCCGAGTTCGAATTCCAGTCGAATCCATTACATTCACTTACGTGCTAATACCCTTGGGAAAGGTATGAATCCTCTTCTTCTCCCCCCAGCTATGGGTAAATAGCAGAAGAGACTGGCTTCTATAGACTTGGATGGCAACTGGTCTACCGCAGAAAGAAATGGCAACCTAATGTGCGAAAAAATCTGCCTCGTCAGTCATGTATTGAAAGATACATGATCGCCTAAGCGTTTATGACGCATGGCATTTTAAAAAAATGATAGATACATGGAGAAGGCTGAACAGTCGAACATACTGTCATATTTCGAGCTGTTCACATCAGCTACAAAGATGAAGACCTTCGAACTAGGGCTTTTGTAAAAGTGACTTGATGAAAATCAAATTGCTAAATATTACGGAATATTAAAATTATTTATTAACATTTGTTTTTTTTATCTCTTCCTTCAATTACAGCCATCAACATCCTCAAAGCCTTTCTTTCTGGTCTAAGTTTGTTGTCCTTTCTTTTTTTTCTTCTTTTTTCTTTTTTTTTTTTCAATTTAAAATACGCAAAGCTGAAAATGTAAAATAATTTTTTTTAAAAATAGATAAATATCTGTACGATTATTTGAAACAACCCCCAAATGTTTCATTTGCTTTGATTGATTTCGTTTAGCAGCATTTAAACATCTCTATGGTTTATTTAATGCCGAAATCTAAATAACTTGTAAGTTATGCTTTGAACTACAGATATTTTTCTATATAAATTTATACTAAAAATACAGATTAAAAAAAATGTTTTTTTAGATATATATTTTGTGAAATATATTTTAGATATATATTTTGTGAAATATAAAATGTATTGTTGGTAATTTTAATATAAAAATGTACTTTTTTAGTGTTGCATTGATTGTCATTTTATTATAAAAATGTACAGTTGATTTTTGCTATTTACACATAGCTGGGACCTTGACAGGTGCTACCACCCCGGAACAAGTAAGACCTGGAAACAACAGCAATTAAGAGGTGGTTCCATGCTTCTCAAAATCTCCTGATCGGAGACCTTGCTCTTGGATGTAGTTTATCGTCATACCGGGGACAACCAAAGAAGAACTGGAAATCTACGTAAGAAAAATAAAGGGAAGAAACAAATACAATTAATTTATATGGAGAAAAATTCGAGTGTTCTCAAATCTATAAAAGATTGCGCGAGATTTTGTAATGATTGTCAATACTGCAGCGACTGTTAAAAAGAATGGAATTTAGAAAGGGCACTTAGGAGGTGAAATATTCCAACTTTTCTGTCATATTTGAAACTTTTCACTTCAGCCATAGTAGACGAAGAGCCTTGATATTCGAAATAAAATAAAAAATGTACAAGAAAGTCATTTCAAAAGTATGAGAATTTTACTGCTTTATGCCATTTCGGAGGGATGGGCTAATTTACGTCTTTCGTAAAAGCGAATTTTCAAAATGCAGAAAAAGTTGTCTGCTGCTCTTGTGTGTATATGAGGAGCAGTCGCTCATTAATACATGTTTGATTAAAAACTGTAGGCCAGAAATGTACTTTTCATTTTTTAATAAATGTACATGTTTGATTAAAAACTGTGTGTGTGAAATGTACTGTTGTGTTTTTTAATGTATATATATGTGTGTGTGTGTGTGTGTGTGTGTGTGTGTGTGTGTGTGTGTGTGTGTGTGTGTGTGTAAAAGTGTATATAAATATAAATAAATATATATATGTATGATTATTTATACATTATATGCGCGGTACTTATTAGAAAGCGCTCAATATCAGAGATAGAGCTAACATATAAAAGTGAACACTTACAAGTCATTACTGCTAGACGCATTCGTCAGGCCACCTGGGTTTGTGACCCTGGGTTTCACGCTTTTGCGATCGTCAGACAATCTGACGATCGCAAATGGTGAAACCCAGGGTCACAAACTCACATCAATCCAACCAAATATGTTAGCGCTATCTCTGAGTACCGCGCATATAATATATAAATAATAATATATATAATATATTACACATATATTTGTATTTATATTTATATACATACACTTTTTACACACACACACACACATTTTATCCCATAAATATAGCACATCTTAAAACTATATTTCTTCGCATATATATATATATATATAATTCGGACTGTCATCCTCATCTTCATTGTCATATTTACAACGTTTCAGCCGCTGTACGCTCAGGCCTTCTTCCGTTGATTGGAATTTCGAACCGAACCCTTTATTTCTTGCACCGGAGTAGATTGTTCTAGTTCGACGTGTTCAATATCAGGCCACAGCAGTGGTGAGCCAAAACTTGGAAAGTTGAGTAAAAGGGAAATAACTTAGACATCTGAAAGAGGCATGACACGTGGAACTAGAAAAATCTACCCTGGTGGTCGAAATAAAGTGTTCGGTTCGAAATTCCAATGACTTAAAGAAGACCGGAGCGTACAACGGCCGAAACGTTGTGAATATGGCGATGAAGATAAGGATAACAGTCCGAATAATGTAAGCAACCATAATACCTCATCTCAGAGATATAAACAGATCCTGAATAAAGCCGGAACGTACAACCGCCGAAACTTTGTGAATATGGCAATAAAGATGAGGATAAGAGTCCGAATAATGTAAATAATGTAAGTAATCGTAATACCTCATCTCAGAGACATAGACGGATTTTAATTTTTTGTTAACTTTTGATCTAATGTATGTAAATATTGGCCTATTATCTAGTCAAACGGCCATCAATACTTGTCATTGAACATAGACTATTAGAAATTTATAATTGTAACCCTAACCCTAGCACTAACCCTACCATGTGTACGCCAAATTATTATAAATTATTACGAAATATTGATAATGGTAATAGTAAT